GTCAACCTTGAGCCGGTGAGATTAGAACCGCCGAACTGCAGATAGCAGTCAGCTGAAGTGGCCTGCAGTACTGCACCCCTAACCACTGCGCCACCTCGGCTCTAATTTAAACCATTTAAAGTCCGGATAAGAATAGCTCTCAGCTCAGTTTCTGATCCAATCCCCCCCCCCTTGGTAGATTCTCTCTTGGAAGTTGGACGTTCAGAGGGGACAGGGAAGTGACTAAATCCGAGGAACGTTTTGGCCTCCTTGGTGGGAAGTCTGTCCCTAAATTAATCTTTTAACCGTGGAAATGTGTCATGGAGAGAATTGCATGATTCTTCCTGGCTGGAGAAAAATCACTGTTTTTCAAGTGCCACGGAGGCAATGCTCGTGTTCCTGATTCCAGGAATCCTATCGATTGTTATGTGGGCGCAGAGGAACATTTTGCCATGTAGGGATCAAGCGTGTTTTCCCTCTTCTTCTTCTGCCCTAGGAACTTGAGAAATTGGCTTCCCGTAAGCTGAAAATAAACGCCAAGGAGACCATGAAGATTGCCGAGAAGCTGTATACCCAAGGGTAATAGAAGCGGCTATTTTTCTGTGGGTAAACTCCCTGTAGGATGGAGCCTGCTATTGATAAGGGCTAACACCATAGGATCACGAACTTTCAGTTCCATGGGGGTGTGTTTTTTTTCCACCAGGAAGATTTATTTTAATATATCTTCTCCCCCGTTGTCCCCCCATCTCTAGAGATGGTTGGTGCAAGCTAGAAACACAACTGGGTTGTGTGAAACCAGATAGGATCAGGAGGCTGAAAACACATCTCCTAAAAGGGGAGATTGCCCCGTGTTGCTCTGAGAAAGGGGAGGGGGGGGCGCATTAGGGCAGCTCTCATGGGACGAACTGCGAGGCCTCGCAATCCCCTAGTTGGAATTGCTTGTAGCTGAGTAAATAATTAAAGTCCCGTTTCCTAGCGGGCCGAAGAGGTTATTGTCTAAAGCAGTGTTTCTCAACCTTGGCAACTTGAAGATGTCTGGACTTCAACTCCCAGAATTCCCCAGCC